TTAGTTCTTCTGGCCTCTGAAAACATCTGATTAATCTTTGTATGGAAGATTTTAGTAGATTTAGTGCTCGGGAAGCTGTTCACCACTAAAAGTCACACTGTGAAGAAATGTTGTGAGCTGATAAATTCACAGTTTCTGTACCTAAGTGAGTGTCAGCATTGATTCTGTTAAACAGGTGTTGTCTAAATTTTAAGAAGCAATATACAGGCTGTATAGATGATGCAACATTGCATTACTACAACTTCATCACTTGCAGGACTGGACCCACTGAGGGGCTGCATGATGCATCCAAAAAGTCTAAATGTGAATAATAAAACAGGATATTAGACTTTATATGAGTTATGTTTTTAATATAAAATCCAGTAATAATGTTTTGCAAGACAACATAACATATTTCTTCTGCAGAAATTAATGATCTCTGTCTTTATGGATGTGCTTCTGTATTTTTTTCTTGGATCTTAGGCATTTTTATTTCTTCAAACCTTTAAAAAAAAAGTTTTACTAGTGTTAGGAAACATTTTAGTCAAAAACATCATTGTTCAGTGAATGACTCACAGTTCTACGATATACTCAAGCTGTGATTAGAGGTCACGAGCAGGTAAGTTCACATAGTTTCTGTGCCTGAATTGAGTGTCTGAATTATTTTCATTAATTAATGTCCCTTTGTAATATAAAAATACATGTTTCTGTTGCGAAATTAAATGACCTCTGTGTTTTTAGTCTAGTTTTGTTTTATTTTTTCTTTACTGTTATGTTAAAATACTGATAGTTTTACCTCGTCAGGCCTCTAAAAAGGTCTTATTAGTCGTTGTAGGGAACATTTTAGTAGAAAAAATGTGAGGACAAATGGGTTTTCTCTCCACATCCTCAGCAGGTAAATTCACAAAGTTTCTGTGCTGAAATGAGAATCACTCATATGACCGTGTAACAGGTGCTCTCTATGTTTTATTTCAGTGAAGCACAGGCTGTGTAGGTGATGGAGACGTGTGTTTAAATGATCAAGAAACATCTTGTGAAATCTAAATTAATCACAGCTGCAAAGATGACTCATGCTGATTGACAATCAATCACGACAACACATCTGAGCATCAGCGTGCGAACAACACAACGAGAGATTCATTCACAAAAACCTACAGACACATCGTCAGTGGACGCATCAGTGCTTCGTTAAAATCATCTTTAATTTAGCACAGACGTTATGTAAAGAAATAAACGCGCGTATTCTTGTTTTTATCAGTTTAGCAAGATTTTTTTAAAAACATGAAGCCAAAGATGATTTTAAAGTGATAATGTTCGACTGTTACTCCACAAATCTGCTCGCTTGTTTGTAAAAGCAACGTTTAAAGGAAGGAAAATACAAATCAAAGCCGAAATCTCTGAAGGCTTTATTGTGGAAGGAGGACGGACTGGTTTTTAAAGACAACATGTGAGTATGTTTTATATACCAGCTCACCCCCGGTGTAGCGGTGTTCTGTATGTGATGCGCCCGGTGCTGGCTCCGCTCTCTCTGACAGCGCTGTGATACAAAACAAGCGCTTCTGCCGCCACTGCGCCATCGCCCGTTACGTTAGCTCGACGGCTAGAAGAAAGCTAGCTCTCTGTTCACGGGGGCGAACCGCTTGTGCTCCAACTGGACGACCTAAGTAACAATTTGACCGATTTTACCGAAACCAAGACATTTTGCTCATAAAGGTCGTGGTGAGTATTTTGTTCCCAGACATTTTTCATTTTTCCTTCCTTTTTCTTTTCTTTTTGGATTTTTTTCTCCGGTGCTTTTTCTATTTTGCGAGTGGACAGGACGTAATGTGCTGGCTAGCGGGGTAGCTAGCTTAGCTAACTTGGAGACGCTCATCCCCCTCCAAAAAACACAAACGCTGAGTGTGGTTTTTAGAAACACGACGCTTTGGATGCATCTTAGCTACAGTTCCATCCCTTTTTTGCAAGTGTGTGTAGTTTTATTTTTGTAGCCTTTATTGTGAAGACTTTTCCTTGACGGGACTAATGTGTTTTTGGCACGCTTTTCAGCCAGCCGGCCAGCTAACGTTAGCGCTAGCTAACTCCGTTGGTTTGATAGCCGCAGCTTCATCCTGATCCATGATTTATTACTGATTATCGACTACACGTTTATCAGAATTTTGCAGGTTTTGGTTTTTTGCAAGCAAATGAACTGGTTTTGTTACAGTGTCTTTTTTTCATGCTTTTCAATTGGTGGTTGGCTAACGTTAGCCATGCTAGCCGGCTTTGAGCCCCCGAGGCTAGCGCAGGGCCTGTGTTTCACACTGAAGCCTGGTGGTGGCGCTGTCGGGGTCCAGGCGGGTGTGTTGCGGATGGTTTAGGTAATTTTTGATCTCCAGACTTTTCTTTTCTGGCTCGGTCAGTTTGTTCGTTTTTTTTTCCTCTTTTTTTTCAGTTTTTTTTTTCCTTCCCCTCCTATGATGAAGAGTGATTTTTCTGATTTTGAAAGCTTTGGACTGCCAGTGGCCTCCGTTCTGTTACATAACGTTACAAACACACGCTTGATTAATTAAACACTTTATCTAAAAGAGTTTTATGGCTGTTTATGTGTATCAGAGTCAACTCATGCTTTCACGTTCACCCCAAGGCCTTATTCAGTGTATTAGAGACATACACTTGCTAGAGTAATATTTAATGTGCAATAAATGGAAAATCCAAATGAATTCACATCAGTGGGGGGTTATACTCAGGGACTGTCCTATGAATCTGTGGCTGCAACTAATATTTTATTTTTTATTGACCAGTATATCAATTATTTACATGATTAATAAATTAGTTTAGTCAATAAAATCTTAGAAAATTGTGAAAAATGTCAATAAGTGTTTCCAGAAGCCCAAGATTGTTTTGTCCACAACGCAAATATATTCAGTTTGCTGTCACAGAAGAGAAAAGAAACCAGAAAACACTCAAACTTAAGCTGGGATCAAAGAATTTTGATATTTTGTTCTTTAAAAAAATATCTTCATATTGATTAATTGAGGGTCAGAATGGTTTACAATTAATTGCAGCTCTATATATCACCTAATAAGTGCTTCTGCATCCCAGTATTTGTCACATTTAGTGCTACGAGCTTTTACATTTTTAAATGAAGATGGCAGCTCTCACCTCCAAAGGTTTTATGAGCTTGACAATAATAATGTTTGAAGGTGGTGCCAGGATGTTTATTATCATGTGCTCTGTGTAATTATAGGTAACATTTGAATGCATCACTCCACACTGACGCTCCTCCGCATTTCGGAAAGACTTAATATATGGGACTTCCCATGATTGCAGAAATTCCTGTATGAATAGTTTATTCTGTTTATTTTGACAGTCCTGTTCAGCTAGTCGTACGTGTGGAGACGCCCCAGTCTTCTGGCAGTTTAACACCTCGGTTATCATAACTTGCGTTCACTTTCTGTAAACATGAAAAGCCTCCGATGACTTGTTGGTTCTAAGTGTCCGTTGATAAGAGGCTTAGTTGTGGACTAAGTTGGATTCTGTAGACATTACTGTCAAAGGGGCCTCAGCTGTGTTGTTGATACCATATAAACACATTTTTCAACTGCTACACACACATGTGGGCCAACTGGGGATAAACCAGTCCACTTCTTTATGGATAGATATGAGTGTAATGATTTGGTTTTATGTCTTTCAAACTTAAATCTGTCTTTTATTTTCCCACTTTACACAACTTATGTTAAAGATAATGCATTTGCACATACATTAGGGCCTAGTTGTGGTCCCAAAGCGGCTCGCTTTGATGAGATTTTCTCGGAGCAGCACAGCTCTTGTCATTTTTTTGTTTTTTTGGAGCCGTTGTTGCTGTGTTTGCCTCGTCACTGACTCCTGCACACACTCCAAACCAGGTAAGACTTGGTACAAGATAACCCTGCTCAGCTTGACTGAGGTGTGTTTTCTGTCACCTCAGTATAAATCGCGAGGGGCGAAGGTGAAGGTCAAGACACCAGCCCAAACTGAACCCAGCCCCCAGTGTCAAACATCAGGCAGACGACATCCCTGCACACAGACGCTATGGAGTGAGTGATGAATGTTAACGCCTGCCCCCCCCGTCAGCCGGGGGGCTACTGTTGATGCCACTGCTGTTTTCATGTTTCCTTCACATCTCAAGGCTCCGGGATTCACACCCTTCGTTGTCAGTTAGACGAGTTATTAATCCCGTTGAGTGAACATGTGGAGCTCAGGATCGGTCGTCTACATGACGGTGCAAGAGCCCCAGTTTGTAGCCTCCAGGTTCCACATGAACACACACAAGTCTGGTGCTTCACTCATTCAGTTAAATTAGTTTTTCTGTAGGAATTGAAGTGCATTAATACAGGATCATATGAGACTGGATAACTTATAGGAGTTGGGTGACTTAATAGAGCTTAAATGTTTTGCTCTGTTGTTTGCAAATGATGCATTCTAGATAGATAATCCAGATTTGTGAACATAGGTCACTGTAAAATGAGAAACAACATTGCCCACTTTTAATTTATCATCAAAAGCACCAACAGACTTTCCCAAATTATTAGATGATACTAAGGTTAGGTCATAAAGTGCTGCGATATATTTTGTGCTGTTTTATCAACCACCTATTAACAGTGACCGCATCAAACTCCAGCTTGGGAAAGTTTGTTTTTGGTAGGAACCTGAACTGTATTTCTGTCACACTGTGTGCTTGTAGGATGGTTACTGGTACCCGTGTTAACGGGAAGATATACATCATCGAATTTAAGTGTGTGTGCTGTTTCCGAATCGTCTGAATACCGATCTGATGTCTGTAGGATTAGATGAAACATACTTTCGTCCATTACAACACTTCATTGCACACATTCAGATCCACACCTGTGAGAAGGAGGTCAGTGGATGTGTCGATACATTGCAAACGCTTTTCAGGAATGAAGCAAACAGCAGCCACCTGTGGCCTCTTAGGATAACCGACGTCACGCTGCACAATCATGCACTCACCTTCATTCTTTGCATTAAGGCAAACGAGGCACATGACTCAGATAATTATCTTCTTTTTTAGGTCACGCTCACGTTTAACCTCGTTTAACCTACATAGCTGCAAAAGCTGCATTTGCTGTACACCCTTACTGAATGATATGAAAATAGCATGATGGGATGTTGCATCTCATCGACTGAAAATGCAAAAACAAACACCTATTATACTTGTTTTTCTGAATGTGGAGGTTTACCTGCTACTGATATATTTAGCTCTTTGTTAGTTGTAGACTGAGATATGATGTAATGAGCAAGAGTCAGTTTGGCGGCAGTAGAGGTACTGCAGGCCTCGACCATCTGAATGCTTGTTTTCAGAGCGTTTATTTTCTCTCAATGCAGATCATTTTTAGACGTGGAGGTAACAACACAGCTATTGAGTATTAACCTAATCGAGGCTTTCGGCAATTTAGGCATCAGAATAACGGCGATGTTGCACAGAGAAAGTGATGACCCATAACTTCCTGCGGTTCTCTCCTTTGTTTTCAGCACAAGTCTATTTTTGTTTCAACCTTTATTCCCCAGGAAACCCTGCTGATCATGCCGTCGTCCTGATTCGCTGTCCCCACAGTTTCTGACAGCGGGAGCACATCAAAACGGCCACTGTTTCTCATCCTTCCACTAACTGTGCGACGATGTGTGTCTGTGTGTGTCTCCCTGCTAGTCGTTCACCAACAACCTCCAGCCTGATGGCGAGCAGCAACGTCACCAACAAGACCGACCCGCGCTCCCTCAACTCCCGGGTCTTCATCGGCAACCTCAACACCCTGCTGGTCACCAAGGCCGACGTGGAGGCCATCTTCGCCAAATACGGCAAGATCGTCGGCTGCTCCGTCCACAAGGGCTACGCCTTCGTTCAGTACGCCAACGAGAGAAACGCCCGAGCTGCTGTCGGCGGGGAGGACGGGAGGATGATTGTCGGACAAGTACTCGGTGAGGAGTCGTCCTCTGAACCTTTTGTTTTAATGTAAATTAGATGAGATTGTACTTTATTGTTCAACTCACTTGTTGCAGCAGTACAGATACAGGAAAGAGCACAATATTGACAAGAAGAAAAAGAAAACAAATAAACTATAAATGGGAAGAGCTGAGAAATGTAATGCAGTAGAGCTACACACACACACACACACACACACACACACACTATGTACACTATAGGTCCATATAATAGATACCATTACTTATAACCAAAAAAGATAAATAAAAGGAAAATATGGTACACTATGATATTGCTCATAGTAAGGGGTATATTGCATGTGAGAAAACCTGGGTATAATATTGTGTATTATACAAAGATACAGTACGGAGAGAAGAACTGCACCATGGTGTAGATTCTGGCAGCAGTTTGAATGAAGGACCTGTGGTAGGAAAAATAAAAATTAAAGCCATTTTTATGACAGTCCTCTCACATCCCTGTTAAAACTGTCGTCTTCTGCGTTTTAAGTTTCTGTCCTATGAACAACTCGATAAGAATTTGGTGCTCCAATCCATTTGCAGCCTCACCGCAGGTCGAGCAAAACTGGTTCGTCGTGTTTGTAGCGAAACAAAAGACGGAAGATCAAAAGATAAGGAAGAGCGAAACTTTCCGGCTCTGACCTGTAGTGCTCTCTGTGATCACTGTTCCATTGTTTTTGGAAACCGTTCCGATGCTGCAGATGAAGCCACAGTTTATGATCACGACGTGCCTTCAGGAGATGAACTGAAATACAGGTTAATGACAGCCGCTGTGCCGTGAGATTGATGGTAGTCTAATTAAGAATAAATAAATTATGACAGACATGAAGGTTCGTCATCATCAAATAGCAATCGTGTTTTCATTATGATGTAAAACACAAAGTTAAATGAGAGGCTTCTACTGTAAGTAAAAGAACAGGTGCATTTCATGAAATTTACAACATGAGCTCGCCTGCTCTGGTTAATTTTGACAGTTTCTCGTTAAAAGAAACACATTTGTCACTCACAAACCCAGGAGGATTACTTACAGGGTTCCAGAGAGCCACTAAACGTCTGAGTGCATCACATTTAGTAGATCCAGATCATCTTTATGAAAAAGAACAAACTCAGTCATCTGCACTTTAATTTCTGTATACAATCATGTACATTTGGTGTTAAGAAATTGTGAAAGTGTATGGGACAGACCACAAAGGTAAAATCAGGGTGCGTCTACGTTGTGATGGTTCACCTCATGGGAAAAGATTAAACCGCCAGTGCAGTCTGTATGGGGGGAAAAAAAGGACTAACCCTGATTTGTGGAACAGATTGTTGGCACGAGCGTATAATTTGTGCTCACAGGAATGGACGGCATGCAGGCTTTAATGCACAAACAGTTTTCAAAAGACGTCCAGCAAAAAGCAAAGTTAGATCTGGATCTGTAATCTGCTCTGTCATCTGTAAACTGCTGGTAAAACTGCAGACGCTTGTAATCTTTGCGCCCGTGTTAAGTTTGTACCTCTTCAATGTTTAACTTAAAGGTACATATTGTTCAGTTTTCTCAAGTCTTTCTTACAGTTCCAGGAATTAAGTCTGAAGGTTTGTGCGTCACTCGATGTTATTAATCTATGATTTGTCTTTCCTTTAGACATCAACTTGGCAGGTGAACCCAAACCACACCGGTCAAAAACCACCAAACGCTCTGCTGGAGACATGTACAGGTTAGTTTCAGTGATGCTATCCAGTCGGTGCTTCACCTGTAAGCATCGCTTCTCGGCAAAAGTACCACAGAGGAATGTGGTTGGAGAACAATCTAGTCAGGAATGATAGCAGGAAGGAAACATAAGCCAAAATACAGGTTACCTTAGTTGAGAAGTCACTGGAAAGAATGCAGCAGTAATGTTGTTTCCATGCGTCCTTAAAGCAACTCTTATTGTTTTTCTCTCTGAACAGCAGTTCCTCATTTGACCTCGACTATGATTTTCAGAGAGATTACTACGACAGGTGAGTGAATCATCTGAAAAGAAGTCCTTCGTCAGAATGCGTAATCACATTTTTCTGTCATTTGTAACTCAATAGTTTGTAGAAATGTTCCTGAACATGTCACCTGAACATCCCTTAATGGTTTTTTGTTGTGAGAACTCGCAGTAACCCAGAATGTTTGTAACAGTCATTGAATGAAACTGACCCCACAGCTGTAAATCCACCACACGGTACTTGTGTTGAGGTTTTTAATGACATTTCTGTCTGGTGTTTTGACACCAGAATGTACTCGTACCCGTCCCGCGTCCCGGCTCCTCCTCCTCCTCTGTCGCGGGCCGTGATCCCGTCCAAACGCCCGCGGGTCAGCCTGAGCGGAGGAAGCAGCCGGAGAACCAAGAGCAGCTTCTCCTCTTCTTCCAAGAGCAGTCAGAGAACTTCCTCATCCAGAACGAGTGAGTGTCTGGGCTGCCCCATGTAACATGTACAACATCATCTGAAGCCTTATAGGTCCACTTTTTTGAAATCGGGGGCATGAAGCAGTGAAAACTAACAGTTTATTTCTAAAGTATGTGAAACTTAAGAGAAAAATGAATACGAAGACCTGAAGCCTGGACTACGAAGCCAGTTCCACGTACTCGGGGTGTCCTGTTGTTTCACTAAAATCCTCCAACTTACGAAGCTGGTTATCAGCTCTCTAAGTGGACCAGGGTTTTTGAACCTGGATGTGACCCTTCAGATACATGAACGTGTCTCCTGGCACCAGAGTGGCATATTTTATTCTACAGACTAACGGCAACACAGCTGCAGCAGCCAAACCAGAAGAGAAAGCTGCAGACTGTTAGTTAACAGGCTTAGTTTTATGAGCACGAGTAGATCTGACTACAACTACAACTGTATGTTCTGTTCAATGAGTGTGCTGCTTAGATGTTTTCATCAGCAGCCCTTCAGTGTTAAATAGTTTTAGGAGCAACTGAGACCTGGACAAAAAAATCAAAGTAGGCCGACCCTTCTAATATAGAAGGCCACAGGTGTACAACTTTAGATATTTCTCACTAGAAGATCAAACTATAATCCTAAACCAGTAAAATAAGTTTAAAGTAAAATACAAGCTAAAAACAGCTAGGGCTGAGTTCCGCTGGGTCTTCTAGGATTTGTGACACCATTTTTCAAGAGAACTGATTGGTCAGATTTTTTTTTCTGCCCCAAAGCAGGTAACGCATTCAGCATAAGTTACCATGGAAATATGAGACGTGAGCCACAGTAGCAGGACAGAAAACCCAGAATTAAACCTAAAGTTAGCTTGATAACCTCAAATCCTGCTTCACTGCATAGACCTCTGCTGTGGTTATTTAGCTGTACTGATGTTCTGTTATATGTGCCTCCAATAATTAAGGGTTTTTTTGTACTTGTGTGCTTTAAAAAGCCATTTATAATTGTTTGCACTGTGCAAAAAAAATTCACAGATTTGGACCCCAAATGAGAATTCAGATTCATTAAGAAGTAAGATCACTTTGCAAACTGTATCTCCAACAGGAACATTTTTATGTCCTATTCACAGGCTCAAACTGTTGTAATCATTGGTTTAAATTAAAAATACAATGGGATTGGTGCACATCTGGTGTTGCTTTAGAAAATGAAAACTGAAGTTGTAGCGTATGGAGTGACTCGGGCTGCTGTGTGTGAACAGTTTCTGGATTGTGTGACATTGTCGACAGCATTCTAGGTGGTAAGTCAAATGCTGGGCATGTTTCTCTTGGGAGTGGCACTTTTTTTGTTTCTTGCCCATATCTTTAGCTCTGATCTGTATGCCAGCTCTGCTTTGTCAGTCTCTCCAACACCGGGCTGGTTTTCTGTCCCTCATAGTCGAGTTACCTCAGTGAGAAGTGCTGAATACGGGTAGAATGGCGTATAGCAGCCACACCAGTTCAAGCTTGTAAATGTAAAGATGGGGAGGACACACGAGCTGGCTGTAGTTGGATGTTTGTTGATTTATTTGGAGTAAATTTGATTGGTTAGAAAGTGCCAGCCATAGTCCAGATGGGCATTATCCTCTTTTGAAAAGGTTTGATTTGACTTTGTGGTTAAAAGGTTGATAGTGGTGCAGTTAATCTGTGATGAAGACAGAATAGATATTTAATCAAACAATTCTTTCTTGAGAAGTGAGAGCAGGAGAATACTCATAATCAGACAAACGACCAACACAGGTAACCCAGTTGGGACACATCAGTGACAGGCCTTGTCAAACTTTTCCTTGTGAAACTTTTCATCATAAAATCTGGATATTTAAAATGGCATCTGTGAAGGTTTAGCTTCATATATACTTTCTGGGATATACTTTCTTTATTATTTTTTTAATTGCCATCTTTGATCAAATAGTCTCTGATTATGATGAGTTGAAATGTTAAAAAAAAAAGCTGAAACTGTCATGAAAAGCCCAATTTTTGATCACATTTATTATTAATAATAATAATAATAATAATAATAATAAAAGTTAATGCAGAAGTCAGCCAGCGATATTTTCTGAACTATATTTAGTTGCATGTCACAATAATAAAAAATCAGAAAAATACAAAAATCAATGGTTGAAACACATTAAAATACAACACTCCTAAGTGTTTTCTTCTCTATTCAATATTTCAATTTTTCGAACCAGAGCGTTCAGTTCAAAGACCTCCACGAGGAGCATTTCTCTGTATTTCCCAACGCTCGGAACGCGATGACTCCAGACTTGCGTATGGACCAGTCTGTAATGAAAAATACAGATTAGTTGGAGTCGCACAAACCAACCCAGTTCATGTTCCGTGCGTTTTGAGTTGTGGATGAGGAGGAGGAGGATGTGTTTTCAGTGTGTAAAAGCACTCCGACGTTTTCCTGACTGACTTCCTGCCTTCGTTTTGTCTCCAGTGAAAGTGGACGAGCTGCAGACCATCAAGCGCGAGCTGACCCAGATCAAAAGCAAAGTGGACGACCTGCTGGAGAGCTTGGAGCGCATGGAGAAGGACCACAGCAAGAAGTCGGGTAAGATGGAAACCGCATCTTTTTATTGGACACAGGAAGATCAAGCAACCAATAAATGCTCTGTTTAACTGGAGAAGCTGTAAAGTAAAACCTCCAGTACAGAATGATCTCAAAGATGTAATCCTACTACGAATACTGGCCCGCATGTGTTGACCTTTAATACCAGAAACTTTCACAGATCTTTTGAGTGCATCCTTTAACCTCAGTTAGTGGAACAGACGATTGATGTGCCTTTCGTGTTTGGCAGAAGCTAAGAGCATAAAAACGGAGCCAGGCGAGGTTACTTCACCTCCACACCCCAGCAACAAGAAGGACGATGGACTGAAGAGGGACAGGGAGAGCCAGGACTTGAACGACTCCGAGGAAGAGGACGACGAGGAGGAGGAAGAGGAGGGAGACCTGCTGGAGGAGGAAGAAGTGAGAACAAATGTGCAGATGCAATACGTAGCATTAAAACTGGGCCAAACATTGATGTGTGTGGTGCAAAAAATGATTTTATAGTGAATGAATGAATCCATCAGCAGTAAGTGCATTTAACACAAGTATACTGTCAGGATTTAGATGAAGCATCCCCGAATGTTTCGGTGCCTTTTGCTGTTTACAGACACAAACCTGTGACTTGGTTCATCCAACGTAACTGTAACCGTAGAGGAGAAGTACAGATTATTTCAGCCTACGACATTTCCCGTTTTTCACCCTTCAGGCACAAAATGGCTCAAATTGGAGGAAAAAGAATGAGAGAGAAAGTCAGAGGATCACCAGGCTCATTAGGATTTATCCTCTGGGAACCATGAATGTAAATTTAGTTTCAATAGATGTTAAGATATTTCAGAAGCCGACAACATCACATCCACTCAGTAACAAGAGGCTGAACACTATCACTGAACTGCAAAACCTGTTGCCAGGTTTGAAAAGCAAGTTGTCGTTGTGATTTATCTTATTTTCTTTACCTGCAGGTTTTGCAGCAAGTTCACAGGTATTAAGAAGTTTTAAAGGCAGGTATTGAAATTCACCAAAATATCACCATTTAGTACAACTGTTCTGACACAAGTGTTGGGTTTTCACCTTTCTGATGGTTCTTATCACTTTGGTTTTGGTCTGGATTAGTCACATCTGAACTCCACCTGGTGACCAAAAGCACTTTGTTGGACATTTAGAAATTTGTTTGCACAAATCAGAATCTGTGCAAAATCCTCTGTTGACAGTTCTGTGATGAAACTCTGATGACTTTTCGGCTGAACTGCAGGTTGTGATGATGTTATGTCGCTGTGACTCATACGTCATCATAAAACCTGCTGTATGAACCTGTAGTCTCCTCGTTCCGACAGTGGAAGTAATTGCACCGATACCGTCAACTCATGCCCATGACATGCCTCGCCATTGAGCACTTTCTTTTTATTTTTTTAAGACTACAATCCTTTGCACGACAGTTAATTTACTTTATTATTTGGTGCATCAGAGACTTTCCTTGGATTCCTAGTTGCTGCTGTGTGTTTGTGCTTGCTCCTGTAGATGATCTATTTGGTTCCTGTGGGGTCAATCGGCACCTTTTCATCTAGGTTGAATGTAACGGATGTTCGTTAAAATGTACATGTAAACTCAATCTCACCCCAAACTGTGCAGGTGAAGAGCCAAGAGAGGGAGGAGGAGGAAGAGGAGGAGGAAGGGGAGCACGTGGAGGGAGACGACGACGCCGACAGCGTGAACGGCGACGAGGACTCGTAGGACCACGGCGACGCATGCAGCGAACTCGCAGCTTCCAGTAGGAACTCGGACTCCTGTTTTAACTCTCATGTTGTAGATAGAAAAGCAAACGTGCACACAGACACACACACACACACAAGCATGGTGCGCACACTCTGTTGAAACATTGTCTGTTCATTGTCCTTTTTTTTTTGTTTGTTTTTGTTTATTTTTTTGCCAGTTGTCCGGTATCACTGAAACAGGAAGAACTAGCTGTAGGTTTCGGTTTGTGTTTTTACTGCGTCATTGCTTGTCTTCAGGTGAAGGCAGCAACATGAACTGTGGATGTTCTCAGAGACGACAGCTCGACGGACATGTCTTAAAACGCCAGGATGGAAAATTCAGCTCCACGAGAACGTTTTAAATTTTCAATGTGTTTTGTTTTTCTTTCTCATCAGTGAGTTTGACCTTGTGTCTGTATGTTAATGTCGGTTTTTTATACTATTCAGTTTCGGTTCAACAGTAAAGGAATAAATTGCAATAAAATGTTAAAATCTAATGCACGCTTCTTTACTTTTTATTTGTTTTCCCCCAACTTGAAGGTAATCGCAAAGCAACACTTGGAGTATTTACAAGTTGTAAACAAGACATTAGGTTACTGAATGTATTTGAAGAGGAGGTGTTGAGATGATAAAACCAAACTATCTGGAAACACATTAGTGAACGGAGCTCAACCTGCACGACTGGCTGGAGTTGATGTGCAACATTTCAGCTGTTGGCAGATGATCTTCTGTCAAGTTTTTAACTGTTAATTGTCTGGCAGCTCGTATTCGTCGTCCTGTTTGGCCCTTTAATCGTTTTTTTCCACATGATCCTCAGAGCTCAACATACTGAAACCTGGAAAGAGCTGCAAACAAACTCCTGGAACATAGCAGGCTGAACATTTTCCAGCAGCTCTATGGGATCATTTAAATTATTATTAGCCATTTAATTTACTTTTTAGTGGCCTCTGGAAACGTTTCTCTTGCCTGTGCTGCTTTCTGCATTTGGTTTTCTTTATCAAATCAAAATCTACGTTTATTGTCAACAGTAGTACGAACAAGATGAGAGCGTTTCTTCAGGATCCAATAACTAAAAGCAATTAAAGAATCGTGTACATCCAGATCAGCAGTTCAGTGAAGCTCTTGATCAGTCTGGAGGTTCTTCCTTTAACGCTCCAGAAACGTTTGCCTGATGGCGGCAGTTCAGTTCATGGAGAGGATGTGAGGAGTCTGGTTATGTGCAGCATGTTTATGTATTGCTGCAGGTGTCATCAAATTGAGGGCGGTTTGTGTTTTGTCTAGTTTCTCAAGCGTGTTGGTTTTTCAGGACTTTCCCATATCGATTACTTAACGAGTACCGTGTCGCTGTAGCTGTTGGAATCAGTCTCTTAACCTACAAAGTTAGGTGAGAAAATCTCCCCCTGAACAGTGTGTGATAACAGATCTTGCAGGTTTATTGCACGTGAGGCTGGTTTTACTAGAATATGTGCCACACTCTATGATATATATAAGTTTTGGGGATTGTTTAACGCCAGTGGAGCTTTGGTAAGTTGTCATCAATGTGCATTATCCATGAAAAAACAAAACGGTGCGCTTCAGACTGATCTATAAAACATTTTCTTTATTGTTTGTTTTATAAATTACCAGAAAAACCTCATGTAGTATCCTAAAACCAGAAGTAAACCCTTGTTTTGGCCAACCAACAGTAAAGTTATTTGGTTTGGAAGTGACATTAAACAGAAAACAGTGAATCTATTATTTATTTCTTTATTTTTTAAATAGTTGCTGATACATTTTCTAGCAATCAGTCTAACTGGAACTGGTTTAAAACAGCTTTTATAATGAATTAGTTTGTATATGTGAGCTGTAGCAGGAGACAGATTTTCTTCCAAGGTGTGTTTTTTGGCTGCAAAAGTTCTCTCAGCCACAGTTTAGTCCAAAATCATATTTGTAAAGAAGTAAATCTACCCAAAGCTGCTTTTCTGTCAACCTTCTTGAATCGGGCTTTAAATCACGGCCTCCTCAGCACCACATCGTTGTGTCGTTGACTTCACAGGAGGTGCAGTTTTATCGCAGGAATCAACAGCGCGATGCCACAAACAGGATTATAGTTTAAGTTTTATTGGTATTTTTAATTCAGGTGCACTGTCATCCGCTCAACAGATAGTTTACAGTCACATTCCATGCACATCAAAACAAGGTAACAATCCTGAGCTGGCTTGTTTGTCTCTTAGCTGTTGCGAATTACTGCCAAACTTGTTGCATCCAAGTCCGGAAAGGTGTGTTTGCAGACGCTGCTCGTGGTGTCAGAGGGAATGTGTTTAAAAACTGGACTTAAGAAAGAATAAGAAAATATTTGATCACGACAACAAGGGAAAGGTGTTTCCAAACTGAACATCATTAGTTTCTTCAGCTCAAAAGTATTCATCAGGTACAAACATGGTGCAAAAGATCCTTTAAATAATTATAAGTTCTGTAAAAACACTTTTTTTTTAAACACTTTGACACTCAAACGTGTCATCATTGTGTCTTCGTTGGGTCTCAGCTTCCTCACTGGACTCTCTCAGGCTGTTTTCAGGACAGACAGGATGAAGATGCTCAGCAGGAGCGGCACAACTGGCAGGAAAAAAGACGGAAAAGGTGTTAATTGGAAAACATCTGTCAGGGTTCATATG